TTATTCACTGAATTTCGTAAAAACAATATCAATGACGTCTATAGAGAGGGTCCTGAAGGGGTAAAATGGGAACTGGGATTTGCTTACTTTTGGGTGGGAAAATGGGATTTCCTGCACTGGGACTGGGATTCATCAGCAGAAAAACAATAGAAAATGGGAATGGGATTAAGATTTGAGCAGGACAGCCACAGAGATGATGGGATTTGTGCTCTAGGACAATGCGATTTAGTCAAAATTTGGGCTGGGAAATGGGAATATGACCCCCCCCCCTTCAGGACCCTCTATAGAGGTTGCTCAAAGGCATACTAGGTTTCTCTCGACAAGCAGAGCAAGACAAAATTTTTTGCCAATATCTCATTCATTTCTTGTCCAAATTGAACCAAATTTAATCGAATTTTCCTTGGCCAATTATACCATTAACCCTACAAATTTCGTATTAATATACGTTTGATTTTTTTAGAGTTATTTTAATTAAGTACCTGAATTACAGGCGGCCACTCCCTGAAATCCAGGCTAGAGTTGTTTGTACTAAACAGGCAATTACATACACACATGCACAAACCCAGGTAAAAACATGTCCTGATGGCGGAAGCAATAACACGTACAGATATCTTTTAGTTTAATAAGAATTTTCGAAATACAATATTTCGGCACGAAATACATAAAAAATGTAAATATCATCGAGACATGCATATTGCAGGGCCTTTTTTAAGGATTTTCCCATGGGGGGGGGGCATTTTTTGAAAAGGGACCTTTCTGTGAGATAATATTTTAGAGGGGGATATGTATGTATGGGGGTCTGGGGGTGTACTCCTCCAGAAAAATTTTGAAATTTGACTCCCGGAAATGTCATTTCCTGCATTCTGAGCATCCAAATTTGCTCCAAAATTTAACCTAACTGGCTAACCATACTTGTATTTGAAATAAATAAAGGAAGAAACGCACAAAAAGTAAAAAAAATTAACCATCATTTATCATTACTTATTAGAGGAGGATAGCCATGGTCAGGTGTGTGGGGGTGTACTTCCCCAGAAAATTTTTGGAATTTGAACCACGGAAATGCCATTTCCTGCACATTCTGAGCATCCAAATTTGCTCTAAAATCTATGCTAACTATGGTTGTATTTGAAATTAAAGATGGAAAAATGCACAAAATTAAATGTAAAAAAGAATATTAACTGTAATTTATCATTACTTATTAATTAGAGGGATAATACCAAGAAAATTTTTGAAATTTGAAACCGTGAAATGCTATTTCCTGCATTCTGAGCATCCAAAAAATTAAAAAAATATTAACAATAATTTATCATTACTTAGTGGTAAAAAAAGTAACAATTTAAATCGATTTTGTTAAACAAGAACAAAGGATAAAGCCTAAAACTTACTTTCCGTTTATCTTTTGTTAATCTTCGCTGGATTGTTTATATAATTTTAGGAAAAAGGGACTTTTCCTGGGGGGGCAAAATGTGATTTCGTGGGGGGGGGGGCACAAGGGGGGACTGGGGGGCAAATGCCCCCCCCCCAGCTTGTATGTTAAAAAAGGCCCTGGCATATTGTCGACCGGATAAATTCGAACTGTCTTCACCTCGTAGCTCAGTTGGTAGACTAGTTCCCAAAGGTCGCGGGTTCGATTCCGACCCTCAGGTCAGACAAACTCTTCAGCTTGCCTGGTGCGGATGCATATTCAGAGTAACATCACAAACACTGATAAATTAATTGCCTGGCCAGTGCCCTCCAGTGCAATCAACATTCTTATATATTTTCCAACTAGTCGTATTTGATGACCTTCGCTAACAAAACTCAATGTCACATCTTTGATATTACAAGGTGATGAAGCACCTTCGTTAAAATTATAACCTAATTATGATCTTTTCATTCCTATAATTAGAGTTGCATTCCCTCCCCCAAAACTTCATTTTACAATGTTTACCTTGGCAGTTGGCACAGATATTGGAAGTAATTATAACGGCTAATTAAAATCTTTTCATTTCCAATTAGTTGCCCACCCCCAAATTAATTTCAAAACGTTTACAATGCACAGATATTGGAAGTAATTATAACGGCTAATTAAAATGCTTTCATTTTCTAATTAGTTGCCCACCTCCAAATTAATTTCAAAACGTTTACCATGCACAGATATTGGAAGTAATTATAACGGCTAATTAAAATGTTTTCATTTCTAATTAGTTGCCCACTTCCAAATTAATTTCACTATGTTTATACTTTGCATAGATATTGGAAGTAATTATAATCTAATTAAAATATTTTTATTTCTAATTAGTTTCCCTCCCTAAAATTTAATTTTAAAGAGTTTATACCGTGCACTACCCTGGATTCCAGAGCCTTCGACAGTAAATAATAAATTGAAACGTCGCGAAGGCTCTGGTTGAACGGGGAGATTCTTTGATTAAACCGCGCCAATCGCAAAACAGAATTAGTGGTATAGTACAGAATCTGTACTAAAACCACTAATTCTGTTTTGTGATTGGCGCGTTTAATCGAAGAATCTCCCCGTTCAACCACAACCTTCGCGACGTTTCAATGTATTATTTACTGTCGAAGGCTCTGGAATCCAGAGTAACCGTGCACAGATATTGCACTTTATTTAATTAGTTGATTAAATTAACACAAGATATTAACACATATTTGTATAATCCATATATTGCAATGATAGTCGAATGATTTGGAAAAAGTACTTAAAATTTTATATCAGTTATAGTATAAACATGTAGCTAGATTTTATACTGAGATGCGGTTTTATTTGGGTTTTATTTTATTAATGTATTAATTATAATCTAGGACATCAAAAATAAAAAGTTTTAGCACATGAATTAACGTTTTGATTTTGATACAGCCAGGCTTCATGGAATCATTGCAATAATTGCATTGATTGGATGGTTATATCAAATGATCAATACTGTATGGAAACTTTGAAAAACTGCTTTGAAGCCAATATATTCATTATTACATTCCAACCGCGATGAATTGATTTAAATATTAATTAATTATGCCAAAACTAAAAGACTTTATTTATGGACCGAACGATCTAGAATGTGGATATTTCAAAATTAAGCTTACCAAGCTGACTCGATCCTGACTTCAATTGCCGTTAAATTTGGAAAAAGCAACTAAAAAATTCATCATCAGGTATATTGATTATTTTTATGTAACGAAATACTATTTATGTATTTAGTTACTTCTAAATTAAAATAGATTGAAAATCCTATTTTACTTTGAAATTATACTCCATTTATATAACCCCATTTTCAATTTTAATGATACTCCATTTATATAACCCCATTTTCAATTTTAATGATACTCCATTTATATAACCCCATTTTCAATTTTTTTAAATTCACATGAAGAATGATATAGGGCTCCCAGAAATATTTATAGTTTAAATATTCAAAGTTTAAATATTTATAAACCTATAACAACTGGAACGACTGCAAATTTATTTTCAGCCATTCATTTTCTTCAAAGAGTAAAATATTATCCGACCATCAACTTCCGTTTATGTTTATTTTTTCATGCATAGATATTACGAGACTCAAATATCTTGGAAAGATGTATCGTTCCGTGGTTATATTCCTGATAATTTTAATATTCATCACAACAGTGGAAACCTGGTCTCGAAGGCGAAGAACACCAAGTTATAGTACTCGTAAAAATAGCGTAAGTTTCAGAAATGCGTTTTGTATATCCATTCTCCTGTTTCAACAGTAAAACGTTTGGACAACGAAAAGCTTTTTGTCTTTCATGCGTTGCCTTCACCCGTCAGCCGATAAAATATGCCAAATGCCTATGCGAATGAGATCTCATACACTCGCAATTAAAAATCGCACATTTGGTGAAATCTGCCAACAAGCCGTCAACAAGTTGTGTCCCAAGTTATCAACAAGTTTGGAACAAGCTGTTAACAACTTGTAACAACCTTGTTGCTATTATCGGACTTGTTGCAAGGTTGTTCCAACAAGTCCGATACAGCCATGATATAGCAATATTGTTACAACCTTGTGTCGTCAAACTTGTAACATTCTTGTTATATGATGACTGTGTCATCAAGTTTGTTACAAGTTGTTAACAACTTGTTCCAAACTTGTTACAACAACTGCATGGGACCAAGCAGTGCGAACACAACTTGTCGACAGCTTATGAACAGATTTGTAACAACTTGTTTGCAGACTTGTAAAAACTTGTGCGTTTCTACGTGTAAAAACGCACAAGTTGTTACAAGTCTGGAAACAAGTTGTTACAAATCTGTTCACAAGCTGTCTGTTCTGGCACTATTTTTTGGCAGGGAATGTTTTTCATGCTTTTGGGCGGAATGGAGCCTTGCCCTTGGCCTTGCTTCCAATATCTGACCGTGAATATTCTATTTACATGCAGTGTATATCAAAAGGAAGGCTCTGTTGCCGTGAAGAGGATGGTCGAAAAACAAACTACAAGCCATGTTGTGGAAATCACAAGTGTGATAAATTGGTTTCAAAATTTTATATCAGAGTTGGACGAAAGAAAAAAACTGTCGAGTATTTTAAATGTCGCTAAGATGCAACACTGAATGCAACAGATTAACTGTAATGTTAATAGCGGATGTAAGCAATGTTTTTCAATGTTTTAATTCCAGTAATAAAGTTTCATGTGTCTATGCCTCCCACTTATCAAGAATTCCGTGAGAGCAATCAATTTGACACTATTAAAAAGGTGGTTTATTACATATACATTTTTCATCAAGTGCTAACACTGTACAGGAAATGCCGTTTCAGATACCATTTTTTTTTCTCCGGAGGACCCTCCCTTCTAAAATATAACTCACAAATGATTGAGTTGCCCTCAAAAAAATAAAATCTTGGCAACGCTTGAAAATCAAGTGGAATAGATTGAAATATGCCTATCGCCAATATTGCCCGGAATAGTTTTTGCGGCGATGTAAAACCCAAAACACTAGAGTCTAGACAGATTTTGCCGCCGAAGTCAAAGACATGCAAACACAAAATAATGTTGCTTTAATCTAATTGCATATATTAATCAGTTATCATTTATATAATAATGAATCAGCTAATTATGAACCAGCGTGTCTATATAGGTATATCATTTGAAAAGGAATCACTCAGTTAATTGTCTTTGTTAATCAAACCATACTACAGTCTATCAATAAAGATACTTTAATTTGCTTCGACGTGAATTAACATTTGGTATACAGTAGTAATGCCGGAAATACAATTCTACTGCTCACAACAAGATGGTGTGATCTTTTGAATACCACCATATGGAACGAAATCACTGTATGCCCTATAATTTCCCGCCATTCCCGTACCACATTGCTTTGCAAGGGTAGAAATCTCACTCGCATCCAAGACTCTGTTCCACACATTGACTTGAGTAAGGGAACCGTGAAAAGCGTTGTTTAACTGAAACCCTCCACCATAGCGGTCTTGATCTTGCCCGATAATCCACATACCATGTGGTGCAATGGGAGCTCCTGGCTTGAACCCAGTCCTGCTGTTTCTAAGCACGCCGTCCTTGTACGCTTGCAAAGTACCATGGATATTTTCCCATGTAATGCAGACATGATGCCATTTTCCATCGCTTACCCAAATACCCAAGCTGGAAACAAAGTACATAAAATACTAAAATTATAAGTTTACGGAAAAACTATAATGACAAATATTGTAGTTGAAAAGATGTTAATTGCATGGTAAATCACGCTTGAGAGTTGAGGTCGATGACATCTTATAAAAGTTTTAAGTCAGCACAGAATGGTCTTATGCAGTCGATTTCACATAACGGTGATAACGTTTTCTTGAAAGTTGTGAATCTTAATTTATTTTTAACTTCAAAATTATTATTAAAATTGCGGGATTACACAAACTGAAAGAACGTTCAGAACATTGTTGCGAAGTTCAAAAGTTAATAATGAAATTCACAATATCAACTTACATTACAAACCTCTGATTGGTCCCTGAAATAAAATAAGCCAATCAAATACATTGTTTACAAACCAGTTTGTGAATATGATTATAAACTTTTGAACTTCGCAAAGAAGTTCGGAATGAAGTTTGCAACTCATTTTGGGAAGAGTTCGACTGTAATGTACACCTAATCGTATAGGGATTACGCCCACCTTATTAGCACTTTGCCCAAGCAGTTGTAATTTCTTAAAAAATTCCCTGTCAGCATTTACTTACTCTTGTGGATAAAATGAGGTACCAGCCTTGGTTTTGAGTAACAAGGTAACATTTGGTAGCAAATATATAGTGATTTCATTATCACGTTCAGGAATGGCATACGACAACACATTCGGTGCATCGGAACGTTTCAGCGTTTTGATCCAGAAACATGAAGTCATTGCATTCAACCCTTCCTCAGGAGCACCACTCTGTAGAATATTTAGACTTATCAGTATAGGCTAGGTACGTGCGAGGGAGGGGGGGGGGGAAGGGTTGAAAATAATAAATTTGTTCGAACCAAACAAGTCCAGTCAATAGGAAGGTGAAGATAACCCGCAAACCGGGTACGACTTGCAACTTAAGAAATGCAAGATATTCCGGGGTATGAAAACCGATCGGAGAATGTTAACTTTTGTTCTTGAGGTTCACCATAGATTTGGGAAAAATTGACGAGCATATGCATGTGTATTGATTACTTAGGGAAGATGTCGAAGTATACTGCTTAAACGGCTCACAAATCGTAAACAGAAACACCTGCACCCGTTTGTCTATTGCGTGTGCCGTGTAGATCATGCATGACTTACCGCAGGGAAACGGGTATAGAAATTAAGGGTAAACATGCATAAGCAAAAATTGTTATAAACAAAATGGTGCTGCTCGTACCCGTAACCGAAAACGGGGAAATTTAACCTCTCTAATTAATAACATACATATTCTAACTAAACAACTATATGCTTACCGAACTTGAACTGCGTTCATCAGCAACTAGTCCAGGTCGACGACTAACGGATTTCGCGTACTCAAAAGTATTCCCTCCTCTGAAATACAACGCATCAGCACCTATGGGTACGTCCAAAAAAACATATAGCAAGTTTCAAACGTTTCCTTTTAGACAATTGATTATAAACAGCCCTGCAGCCGTTTTTACCGATTGGAATCAGCCATGCAACTGATCGACATTCTAGATTTCTAAAATCAATGAATAAACAGACTACTAAATTGCAAAACTAAAATACAAATTTTCGAAAAGGCGGCCAAATGTCTTCTAGGAAATATGCTGGGCACTTTCTGTAGGAAATATGGCCAGTATTTCGAGGGGGGGGGGGGAGGGGGGTAATGGGGCCAAATTATTTTGGGGGCAAACAAATCTCTGGGGCCACCAGATTTGACATGAGCGTGCTAGGACAATTTATATCATACATTTATTCTTAGCTTGGTTTGTTGAAACTTTCTTTTTTGAAAGTTTTTCTTCTTTTGTATCCTTCAACATTGCTTTGATTTCCTTCATGAATTCAGTTTTCATCTCATTCAATTCCTCTTTAACACTAACCAAAAGATCTTTTAAATCCGCGATATCATTTTGCATATTGCAACCAGGCAACTTGTTCTTGATCTTAAGAAATTTCTGCGTTTGAAATTTTTTAATTTCACCCAACGACTGACCTTGGACACTAGATAAAATGTGAGGTAATTTTGTCAGAAAAGAATAACACATACAGAAATATATGGAAAACCTATGACATGCAAAACATTTTGACATATCATTTTACTCAAAATGTTTGAGTAAATTAAATTACTCAGTCAAATTGATAAGCAAATTTATTTATTTGTTGAGTAAAGTAAGTCTAAAGCAAGTCAAAACATTAAAATTTGCTCATAAATCTGAGTCAGATTACACAAAATTTGAAGTGAGTGTGGGTGCATTATAATATTTCAGTGTTTTGAGTGAAGTAATTCTTAGACAACAACGAAGATCACAGGACATTATTTGCCATGCTGTGTCGGATTGTGAACAAAATAGGAACAAAATCGTACCAATGGGAACACGATTACCCCCTGGTGTGTTGGAATGTGATTAGAGTACAAGGCGCAAAACAGAAACAATTCTATAGTGTCCCTTCAAGTTTTATATCTGATAAGGCACTCGTTTTTTAAATAGAGGGCCCAAATAGTAAGGAAAAGTGGGGAAAAAAGCGCAGTATATATAGTTTACTATATATTTGCACGACTATAACGAATTTCACTCAAATAGTTGGTCTGCTGGCGTCGGCTATACATAGTTTCCTATATCCATTTTGTAACTATTGATGTGTATAGAATGTTGTCAAATCCCTTTATCGTATATATGGCATGTTATATCGACCAGTTTCAACGGTAATTTTAACAAAACACATCAGAAATATATTCTTCAAATTCAAAATTTATTTAAATGAACTGAATGAATGAACGAATAAGTATAAGAGTAAATTATAATGAATAATATTATAGTTGCCTCGAAATCCTTTGTCTCGCGAGGTACGATTAATGACTAATTTACCTCATTACCCCATGCATACGCTTTGTCTTCTAAATTTACCCGGTAAACTTAGTTGAAAACAAAGGATTTCTTTGTCTTCTAATTTTCCCCTGCATGCTTGATGAGGGAAATTTAGAAGACAAAAGCGTACCTCATTACCTCTGATTGGAGAGCTGTACCTCATCGAAAATCATCGGCACAACTATGGACAGTATCTGACGACACCGTCCCGTACACATTCGAACAATCACTTTGCCAGCTTTTATTCCCTAATCTTGAACATTACAATTGTGGGAGAAAATTCCGTTTATGCGCATGCCTAAAACGAATGAACACGGAGATGTGTTTCTGCGCGTGCGTATATATGAAAAGTGTTCGTACCACAATCATAAGACAATCAAACAGCATTCAAAACAGGCAACACACCACGCGCGATTCCCTCGGCAACTATGATATTACGAAGTAATAGCATGGCATTACGGTCGATTAGTGATGAAATGTCCCTCAAGCGTCGAGAGGTTTAGTAAAAGTCCCTCTGCGCTACGCGCCTCGGGACTTTTACTAAACCTCTCTCGGCTTTCGGGTACATTTAATCACTAATCGACCTGAATGCCATGCTATACTTATAATAAATGAGAGTAAATTATGTTCACTTACTTTGACCAGGATAGGAGAACTGTACATAAAAGGAGCAAAAACATTGTCGTATCCATCTTCGAAAGGAAGTTTAATTGTGCTTTGCCTTGCTCGTCAACACTCCTTATATAAGCAGCCAAATGCAAGCAATACAATGCGGTTGACGGATTTCATGGTTATATTACATCTCCTGTCAACTTGGCTATGGGGGTTAAGGACCTTTAATCGATGACATACTGCACAATGCAAACATCACGCATGTATTTTTATTGTCTTTGTACTGCAGTAGCTAGACATATACAAGCTATATTAATGTAATAAATAGAGATGAATATACTTTTTTATTATAAAGATACAAAGTTTTACGAATGGATTTACTTATACGAAAACTCGCTTCGCAATGCATCAAGTTAATCAGCGAAACAATTTTCGCGCACGTGATGCGATAATGTGCAGGCGGTGGGGTGATTTTAATACTTCAACACTGATTTCAAGACTTCCTGAAGATATCAGTTACATCAGTGTTGGTACACTTTGTTGTCTGAAAATACCATCACTCAAACTTTAGAGAATTGTAAAAAAAATATTGCCATAATTATGGAATATCGTATGAAATATATGCAAACTTGAGATAATTCGTTTCCACAATGCCACTTTTTAAAGCATTTGACTTATGGGTTAAATGCACGAGACATGACCGCTCAGTGAAACGTGATCGGTGGGAATACGCCTTATCCAACAACAACAGAACACAGGACATTACTTGTCATGGTGTGCGGCCAGATTATGAACAAAATAGGAACAAAATCTTACAAATGGGAACACATTATTCCGGATGTGCTGAAACGTGATTCGAATAACATTTATTATTAGAAACGTGATTAAAACAGGAACAAATCGAGCGTCCCTTTATATCGTGTGTTTTGGATCAAATGTTGTCTGTCGTGAGTGAATTAGTCGTGGGTCGTAAAATGTGCTAAAAAAGCATTTTTTCACGAAAATATTATTTTTAATATTTTAATTTATTTATTCATAAACCTTTGTACAGTACTTGTCATGCTGTATTTATTACTGTCCTGTGCTAAAGACGAAACGTTGGTACATTTCGGTAAAACTTATTTTTATATTCATGTCTATGACGGTGCATGCGTATGTTATGTTAAACATTAATTTTTATTATACGGGTAGGAAAATTCAATTTATTTCCAGAGGAGCATGGCCCCCTTAAAATTATGGCTCACAAATTATTAAGTTGCCCCCCAAAAATAAAACCTTGGCAACGCCAGTGAAAATGAAGTGGAATCGATTGACATTTGAATTCTTAAAAATAAAAGATATGCATTGCCTAGCTATCGTCATATTGTCCGCCATATTGCTGCGATGCGAAATCCAAAACAGACAGATTTTGCCGAAGTCAAAAGAAACACAAACACAAAATAATGTTGCTCTAATGTAATTGCATATATTAATCAGTTACATTTATATAATTATGAATCAGCGTCTTGGTGTCATTTGAAAGGGAATCACTTTGTCTTTGTCAATCAAACTATATACTACTATCTATATTAAGCTATGTCGTCATACTTTGCCACGAAGTGAATTAACTTTTGGTATACAGTAACGATAAAAACCTTGAAAAATACAATTCTACTGCTCACAACAAGATGGTTTGACCTTTTGAATACCACCATAGGGAACGAAATCACTGTATGCTCTATAATTTCCCGCCATTCCCGAACCACATTTCATTGCAAGGGTAGAAATCTCACTCGCATTCAAGACTCTGTTCCACACATTGACTTCAGTAAGGGAACCGTGAAAAGCGTTGTTTAACTGAAACCCTCCACCATAGCGGTCTTGATCTTGGCCGATAATCCACATACCATGTGGTGCAATGGGAGCTCCTGGTTTGAACTCAGTCCTGCTGTTTCTAAGCACGCCGTCCTTGTACGCTTGCAAAGTACCATGGGTATTTTCCCATGTGATGCAGACATGATGCCATTTTCCATCGCTTACCGAAATTCCCAAGCTGGAAACAGAGTACATAAACTTACTAAAATTATAGGGTTACAGAAAAAAACTATAATGACAAATTAATTGAAAAGATGTTAATTTCATGGTAAATGCTTTTATCGCGCTGGAGATCAATAACACCTAATTTACGGAAAGTTTTAAGTCAGTACAGAATGGTCTTATGCAATCAATTTCACATAACTTTTCCCTGAAAGTTGTGAACCTTAATTTATTTTTTAAATTTCAAAATTTGATTATTAAAATTCCAGTATTACACAAAACTACAGTATAAATCAAAATGTTGTGAACCTCGTTCAGAACTTTGTTGCGAAGTTCGAAAGTTAGTATTAAAATTCACAATGTAAACATCATAAATCTCTGCAGATTGGTCCCTGAAATAAAATAAGCCAACCAGTTTGTGAATATGATTATAAACTTTCGCAAAGAAGTTCGGAATGAAGTTTGCAACTCATTTTGGGAAGAGTTATGGAAAATCGACTAAAAAATGCCCTGTCAGCATGTACTTACTCTTGTGGATAAAATGAGGTACCAGCCTTGGTTTTGAGTAACAAGGTAACATTTGGTAGCAAATATATAGTGATTTCATTATCGCGTTCAGGAATGGCATACGACAACACATTCGGTGCATCGGAACGTTTCAGCGTTTTGATCCAGAAACATGAAGTAATTGCATTCAACCCTTCCTCAGGAGCACCACTCTGTAGAATACATAGAAACTTACTGCCACTGGTAAGGCTAGTTGCGGCCTGAGGGGGGGGGGGGGAGAGTTAGGGGTGAAAATAATAAACTCAGAAAATCGTATACTAACGAAAAATAACTCGACACTGTAGGATTCCCACAGACCAGAACGACTTGCAACTGAAAAATTACCATAGAATTGGGGAAAATTGACAAGCATATGTGCATTGATTTATTCAAGGAAATTGTTGAAGTATTTTACTGCTTGTTAAACGGCCCACAAAAACTCGTACCCGTTTGTCTTTTAGGTGTAGACCATGATAAATGGGTATATAAAATTACGGATAAACATCCTGACATTAGCAATTGGTAAACAAAATGGTGATACTCGTTCCATAGAAATCTTCTTTCTAAACAACTATTCTTACCCCACTTGTAATATCTTCATCATCAACTAGTCCAGGTCGACTAACGGATTTCGCGTACTCAAAAGTATTCCCTCCTCTGAAATACAACGCATCAGCACCTATAGGTACGTCCAAAAAACATATGGCAAGTTTCAAAGATTTCCTTTTGGACAACTGATTATAAACAGCCTTGCAGCTGTTTTTAACGATTGCAATCAGCCGTGCAACTGATCAATCATTCTAGATTTCTAAACTTAATAAACAAACTACTAAATTTGCTTAATTAAAATGGATATGAAAATACTTCCAAATTATTTCCACAATTTCCGCGCCAGAGGATGTTTTATTGTCATTCAAAATTTAATTATTAATATTTAATCTTACGCAAGCAAGCAAGCAAGCAAGCAAGCAAGCAAGCAAGCAAGCAAACAAACAAACAAACAAACAAACAAACAAACAAACAAACAAACAAACCAAAACAACCTTGTACGTATTTTGTTGCCGCTTGATGATAGTTACTAATTTGTAACATGTTTCTGTCTTCGCTGGGCAGGTTTTTACAAAGAGCCTAACACAAACTATTACTATATAGTCGGTCCCCACCCAAAGTGTATTTTTTATTTAGTATCCAATCTCAATATTCCACAAGAAATGTCAACAATATAACAACAACTATCTAATTATAGTTAAACTACTAAATATATCACCAACAATATGAGAATCTAATTAGCACTAATCAGGCAGACCAATCAGATCTAATCAGACCCTTTTGATCGATCAGGTGAAAAGCCAGATTTGGGCTTTTTTATATCAGCGGGTAGACAGGGATTTGCGTCAGGTCTCTTTTTCCTTCTGTTCACCCGCATTTTAGGAAGGAAAAATGGTCTGTCCTAAAAGGTGACCAAATTTCCGAAGAGGGGCTAGATTGCCCAGGAAATGTGGGCACTTTCTTTAGGAAATATGGCCAAATTTCGTGGACAAGATAGCGCCAAATTATTGGGGGACAATTATGGGGTCAAATTTCTGGGAACACCGGATTGATATGAACGTGCTAGAATGATTTATGACATACATTTATTCTTAGCTGGATTTGTTGAAACTTTCTTTGAAGGTTTTTCTTCTTTAGTATTATTCCACATTGCTTTGATTTCCTCCATGAATTCAGTTTTCATCTCATTTAATTCCTTTCTAATACTAACCATAAGATCTTTTAAATCAGCGATATCATTTTTCCTATCGCAAACAGGCAACTTGTCGTTCACCTCCTTGATGAATCCAGTTTTCATCTCATTTAATTCCTCTTTAACACTAACCATAAGGTCTTTTAAATCCGCGATATCATTTTTCATATCGCAACCAGGCAACTCGTCTTTGCTCTGGAGAATTTCATCCTCTGTTAGCCAAGATAGATGATTTTCACCCAATGACTGACCTCGAACACTATATAAATATGAGGTAATTTTGTCAGAAAAGAATAAGGGACCAGTATAATTACTTATAGGGGTGGTATCGAAGACTCAATAGAAATGTCTTTCTTTGTAAAAATTTTGCTGATCTAAGACCAAGCATTAAATTTAAAAGGTCAAAAACCTTTTTTACTCAACCTCAAACTTTACAAAAGGATACCATTCAGTTGACACACATGCCCTAATTTACTATTTCAGTGACACGAGTTTGACAACTCTTATATTAAATGTTTTGTTCCATGCGGCTTAACCTTTCATTCGTCGAAGTTTAAGAGGTACTTGTGCGTCATGTATTAACATGACCGCGATATTTTTACTTTGTGCATTCAATTTAGTATTTATGTTTTGAGTGTTATATATACTGCACAGACATAATATGTTTACAGCTACGTGTATTCCGAAATATCTTTGAAAACCATTAAAATCTTGCGAAATTGTGCATGCCATTGCTTATATAGGTGAAATGCTTGCAAAGGTTACGTAATATATGACACTGAAAACTAATCCAAGATATGCGTTAATTTAAACGACAGGCGGCTGACAACAAACCGCGGTTTGCGGTTAACAGGTAAACGTTATATCATACAGTTGTACAATGAGAAATCGATGAAAAATACAAGATGGACTTCGATGTTTCGAGTCGACACCATAGATATCTTACATGGTCAACACCCCTTCGTCTGGAAGTTTAGTGGTTTGGTAGTCGAAATTCTTATTGACCCACTGCACTGGCAACCACAATTCGCGATACAACAACAAAGCCACAAGTTCACTTACCAGAAAATGAAAACTGCACAGAAAAATAGAAAATATATGCTGGTGTCCATCTTAAATTTGTTAATCAACTTAGGACAAGTAAAGCTGCGCTTCTGATCTTTACTCGTCAACATTAGTTATGCGCGCAAGCTGCTGAACGCGGCAATATAATACGATTGACGTATTTTATTGTGATGTAGTACTTTTCTGTCAACATGATCGGTTGGGTCTCGACATAAAATATAAAATTACAATATGCAGACACAAGGTAAAACAGATGCTTTAATCTGCCAACACCATATTAGCCTAATTAAAAATAATAGGTTATTTGAGTGTATAGGTTTTCTGTCTATGAATATGAAAAAAATTCTTATATATTATATGACAATACATAAACGGATAAACCAATACCTAGGTTGTTTACCATTTACATGGAAATTCCGGTGATTCCATACGGAAAATAAATGGAACAAGCATATTTCGACGGCCCAACCAGAACTTTTCCGGAATGAACGGTTTGTTTGAAAAGTTTGTCCTCTCTTACCGATTGGAACGTTTCAACCGGTAAATGTTGTTTCATTTACATATTTTTTATTTTTTCACCAGTTCCAGGCTCTTCTCGATTTAACAATTGAAATTATTAAATGGAAAGCACATAATCCGAATGGGATTTTCTATCCGAGATTTTGCTTACCATTAGCACAATTTCAAAGGCATCTCATGCACTTGGTAGAACTACATGTTGAAGTGGAATTTTGTTTTAAAAGTGATATAAATAAAAATTATATAATTCGTTGGAAATTAAGGCATACACTACGGCAAGTCTTGAGAAAGTGTTGCCATATCGGTCATGCAAAACAGGTAACTGCGGTAACCAAAATCAAGATCAGTTGGATCATCGTCTTATTCATATTGCAAAAGACTCTTTTGCTGTCATCTTTGCTGTCAAAACATTGAGACTACAACATTTTCAAAGAAACATCTCTGCAGACTCTGTATGATTATATTATTTGCACCCCCCCCTTGCGAAAATGCGCAGGAAGAGCACTCCCCTGAGATTCCGGTTATTTGGAACACATCGTGATTAGCGACCATTGCGGTTGATCATCCTCACGATGCTGTTCTAAGAATTTTGCTACAATCCATTCTTGGAAAGACCCCTTGCCAATTGTTATTAAATACTTCGCATGCGCTAGAAGAGTCATTTCAACCAACGCAACTACGCCGCGATCCACATCGTTTGCGGTTGGTGTGTACTCGATACCACCGGTACTTCTTATAAGGAAACTGTGAAGTTCCCTTATTATGGTTTGATGATCCTCGGGTTCCTTCACAGAACCTTCCCACGTGCCAGAGCCAAACCTTGACATATCTGAAGCGATCAGCACTTGCGTGATGCCGGATACAGCTTTCAGCACTTTTACGAGCTCGTGTAAAACACGCAGGCAGCTTTGTAGTCGGAAAAATTATGCGCCAAAAGAACCTTTTCCCCTCGGACATGCACAGCAATGTAAGGCCCATGTAACACACGACGAAACCTATTCGCTTCCTTCAAAATAGCTTCCGATGGTTTGAGTGCAAAATGTAGGTCTCTCTCATGAAATTTGAGATGTTTGCTAGAGAAGTGGGTTCTGAAACTTCTTCCTATTCCACGCCAATTCGAGAGCGTCAAACATTTTGCACCTTTGATGACTTTATTTTCTAACTTGTCCCATTCAGTGAACTTACTAACGTTGACGCAAAAAAAGTTTGTCTTCGAGTTTTCTTTGGTGTAGTTTCCGAGGATCGGGCATTCTGTCCAACCAACCTTTCATTCAATTGCAACATCTGTTTTGTTTTTTCCTTGTTACCTTCATAAAGAAAGTATAAGGCCACGTGACTTGCGTCAGCCAATGAGCATTCAGCTTCGTAGTCTTTCCCACCGACCAAAGTTGCGTAATCGCCAAAAATGAGTACCTGATTAAAATGAGTCAAATTGAAATAGGTTCCCAGAGAGTACCCATCATTTGCACCAAACAGAGAATTATTTACTCTTGGTGCTTGGACTTTTCTATTTTCGAATTTCGCTTGGCTTGCCAGGCTGATTAAAGCGCGAGTACTCATAGTCATTTGCTCCCAATAGCGCGAAACCCGAACAAAACCTGCGGCCTTTTGCGATGCCATAGAAATTGAGCGATTTTTAGTGGCAAATTCAATTTTCTTCGGAAATAAGGGCTTGACGATGTTGAGCGCGATACTACTATCTGAACCATCCAAATATTCTATCGCTATCTGCCCGCCGAAACAGTTCTGTAGTTTACTTGCATGCTCGAATGTCATAAAAGTAAAATTTCTGAAAAGTTCGCTGATTTATTTTCACGGTAGATATTGAATATTCATGGCTGCAAATTGATGAACGATATTGCCATATAATAAAAAGCCCCACAATTATGACTCCAATGATGTGTCTAAACTTTCTTGCCATTATCAAAAACCTGTACACAAAGAAGGAAAATTATTTGAAACGAGTTTTGAGTTTACCCTAGCTAAATATTCTGTCAATTGTGCACTATAGACAATTTTGCACGCCATTTGGTTTTTTCTATTAATAGTGAATAGGTTTACATGTCACTGCGACTCATTCCATAGAATCAATCTATTTCGAATTTTATTGGAACAAATTAAAATATTGTATACAAAGCAAGGGAAACAATTTGAAATCATGAGTTGTAAAAATATACCTGATATTTCCATAGCATCCGCGCCAAGATTTTTATTAGTTTTTGAATTTGAAGCCGTATATATTGATCTTCCCCCCAAAACAATCCAAATACCGGCAAAGTTTGAAATAATTTTGAAGTCAGAACTGGAGATATACTTTATACTAAATTTACACCGTAAAGTTGTCTGAAAAACTCTGTAACAAAGGACAGGTGAAATTTGTCTCTCTCTTTGTCAGCTCCCAGTATAATGTGTTCTTATCAAAGACAACACCCTGCAATTTGCTTTCAGCATGAACAATATTCTACATGCAGACTGAATAGTGAACTACCTGAAAATGTATGGACGGCTTTTCGAGTAAGGTCTTGATACCTCTGGGGCCGTTGCGAGATACGTTGTAATTATTTCTCTCATATATACTATATAATTGTCAGATCATTCAACCAAGTTTGTGTATATTTATCAGAGTAGAGATTGCATGAAAAGTATATTTTGATATCCTATAAGAAAGTAATCTTACAATTGTTGTTAAGATAAAATGGTCTAGGGCAAGCTAATTATGTAATTAGGTATAAGCGTAATATTTGATGTAAAGCGCATGATATATACATGTAACTCTACGCCATATAAATGAAATGTTATTAATCGTAAGATAACCGTGCTTTCCTAACTATATTTATCTTAATAACTTTATAACTTTATGGTTTATCTAGACCGTAAGCTGTCCCTCGGGGAGAAAGGAGGGATCTCCGACAACACATCAAGAAACGAAATATGCCCACTTTTCGCTCTTGTCAAAATTGCCTCCGCCTTTTTATAAATATTACTTATATCCGATTAAATCTATCCAATAGGAACCGTCAGTCTGGAAATTATTTATAGCATAATTACTACGTATCAGATTTGATTGACAGGCGTATCGATTTCGACCAATGGGAATTTTGCGTTGTGTGGGCAAAGGGTATTTCGTTTTTGATGAGTTGTCGGCAGTCCCTCCTTTACTTTCGCATGCCCGGAAATCTAAACCCGCGAAAAGCTAGGAGGGACAGCTCGCAGTCTAATGTTTATCTATGGTTTATCCTAATTTATTTATTTATTTATTTATTTAGCTTCGCCTTGACAAAAAACGTACACAATACAGGTACAACAATTCATATACATGAGACATAACAAGAGGCGGGGGCACCACAACAATTTACACCATTTACTGTGGACCCTTTAGTTAAAATTAGTGACAAATTAGAGATGAAAAAATCAATTAATTAGTCTAGTAGCATTGCAACAGGCATCGGCATCGATTACTGATTGCGCGATGTGTTGCACCTGTGGTTGCACTTCAGGCAAACATTTTTCCAGGTTCGAGCATCATCCACGTCGGAACAAGATTCGGAACAAGATACAAGGGCATTATGGTAGTATTCTAATAGTGACTTTTTAAATAACGTTACAGATAAATGATCAAGTCTTAAGTGTTCGGATAAAGAGTTCCAGGTTGTAGTTGCTCTAATAAAAAATGACCGTTGATAGGTGCATGGCTGTCTTACATCTACGAGGACGGTACGAGATAACACTGTTATTTGAAGATGATCGAGTAAGCCTTGAGGGAATAGATTGTTTCGGCAAGATATTTGCTTCGGAACAGTTATAATACCATTTATGGCCTTAAAATCCTAACTTACTCTGTCAACTTTCCCCGTTGGAAGAATATGGAACCATGACTTTCGGGAGAGCGTTGACAGGCTCTTTCAAACGAGTCGGTAACGAGAGTCAAAGCGACGAGGCGCTTCGGATCTGACGATTGTGCCAACAAAGGACCCTCCTGCTATAAATATTGCTTCGGCAATTTCGAGATTCTTAATCAGAACACATTGTGATTAGCGACCATTGTGGTTGATTATCTTCACGATGGATTTCTAGGAATTTTGCAACAATCAATTCTTGGAAAGATCCCCTGCCTACTGTTATTAACCCTTTAAGTGGCAATTATTGAATTTCAAATAAAAAAAATATTTTCTTGCAAAATTAACCTACAAATGAGCCTAGAAAGCCAATTAAAAAGAAAAAAAAAATCCCCTTTGAATTTCAGGGGGGGAAATAATTTGTTGCAGATAT